TTTTCTATTGTTTAAATAATGTTAATTTTTTTATAGCAAAATTAAACATTTTCAAATAATTATTTTCTATAAACCCTCGTTCGGTTGTATTTCAACTTATTTGTTTTTATTTATTTGATTTAAGTAAATATTTACTTGAGGGCAGTTCCATACCAAAAGCAAATGATGGATCACCGATTTTTCTTAAATTTAGTAATTTTGTAGTATTTGGGATACTAAATAATTGTGCCAAACAGTTTTTCAAAAAAAAAAATTTTTTTTTAAAGATATTTAGATTTGAAAAATTGGAAACTGAAAAAAATGACTTTTTTAAGAATTTTTATTTCGAAAGCTATTGATTCTACGAGAAAAATTCATTCATTCAAAATTGTAGAGAAAATGGCAATTTTTTATAATATTAAAAAAAAATGTTAAGAAAAATTAAATTTTCAATAATTTGTTTAAACAGTAATTTTTTATTGTTAAAAAAATATGCTAAGGACATCATGGAATTTCCTAAAAAAATTATTCTCACAAAATTTAAACCTTCCTTAATAAGTGATTAAATTTTTAAAAACGTGCTTTTTGATGTTTTTGAGAAAAAAAATTTTGAAGTTTGCTTTACGAGTTTTTGTGCGTTGAGCTAACTAAGCAGCGCCTATATCCGTGTATTTTAAAAGATGATATGACCTTTACTGCTCGCCCCTATACATTTATTAATTATATACGTATATATTATTATTATTATAAACAGTTTAACAATATATTTTTAACTTTTTTATAAACATTATTTTCCTTTTTTAACCCATTAATGCCCATATGGGCACAGGAACGCAAATATAAAAAAAGTAATTATTGGGATCCTGGCATGTGGTCTAATAATATTTTTTGACATTAAAAATTTTGTTAAAAAAATTTTTTTAAACAATCTGATATGAACAAATGAAGAAAAATTGATTTTTCTAAAAAACTGATAGCGCCATTCGATAAAATATTAATTTGTAGTATGAAATAAATAGTTATTTGTAGCAAATTCGAATTATTTAAGTTCAAATGAATGGAATAATTGGATCTAAAAAATATTGCTTTAAATCAATTAGGAAAATTATTTGATTCAGTAATGCATGGATTTTAATTCAAATAAATATTTATTTGCATCAATAAAATAATTTTTTTAAAATAACTAAATATTTATGGGGCATTCCGCACGACAGCACGGACAGAGCTCTAAACAAAAATTGCTTTGATAGATTTAACCGTTCAAGGGCTTAAAAGATTTCTACATTCATGTACTTCAAGATGCCGATGGGCGTTTTTTGTAAATTTTCATTTCCGATGCCAATACAGCTGTCAAAAGTCAAAAGGTCCATAAATCTCGAAATACTTTTATGAATTAAAAGCAAAAAACGAGGTAAATTATTCTGTAACTCATTCTTTAACAGTTTTTTAAGGTCCCCGAATATAAATCTAAAGTTTTTTTTTAAATCTAAAATGTCGGATCCAATATGGCGGACAAAATTCAAATTTTATCAGATTCAATTAAAACGTGTTACTCGGGGGCTTTTGGGGTCGCAGATTATGAATATGAAGTTACTTCGTAGAAATTGAAAATGATGAATCCAATATGGTGGACAAATTTTTAAATTTGATCAGATTTAATTAAAAAGTGTTACTCGGGGGTTTTTAGCGTATCTGATGACGAATTTGAAGTCACTTTTAAGAAATTCTAGCTTCATACTGTTCTATAATGTAAACAATTTGTTATTACCCTATTAAAAATTTACACGTGTAATTACACGTGTAATTACACATGTAATTATACGTGTAGATTTGGCCACGTGTAATTACACGTGTATTTTAAACTTTGATACTTTTTCAAACCTTTCTAGAATTGTTACACGTGTAATTACATGTGTATTTTATACTTTGTTATTTTTCAAACATTTCCAGAATTATTACACATACAAAGTGATAATTCTTTACAAATTCTGTAAAATATTCGAACTGGCTATCTCTCCCATATGTCCATCTCCCCCGGACTTACCCTACTCAAATTTTAAATAATATTTTTTTCTTTTTTAATACATATTTTATAATAATATCTTATTATGTTGTGTTCGCGTCATAACAAAAGCAGACGACGCGAGGTAAGAAAATTTGTACTTTTATTTTTCCCCGCAAGGAACGCCACTCCTGCTACGCTCTAAATTTTTGTCATCGTGTTCTCTAAAGTGGGGACACTTCCTATAACAACGCGAATAAAATTTTGCAGACATACATACATACATACATACATACATACATACATACATACATACATACATACATACATACATACATACATACATACATACATACATACATACATACATACATACATACATATACCTACATACAGACATACATTTATTTACAAATAAATTGATCAGACCTTACCTAGGAGACTCAAAATTAATTATTTTGTTTAAAAAAACACCATATTTTGACAATCAGAAGTTACACAGTCTAACGCTTGGCAACGTTGCTTCTGAAAAGTTAGGTACAAAAAAGTGCGAAATTTGAAAATAATTTCACATTTAATGAAATTACAGGAAAAGTATAAATCCAACGTTGCCGAGCGTTGCGTTAATGCTGCGTGAATCAAACGAAAAGTTAAAGGGGCATTTCTTTGATTAACAATGTAGAGAAAGAACCTCCTTAATATCATAAATATCATGGAAGTTTTAATTTTAATTAAATTTTAATTAATTTATTTTTATGAATTAAATAAAAATTAAAGTAATTTTAAATAAATTATATAAAATAAAAAAAATTAAATAAATGGGACATGTTGAATGGAAATGGAAAAGCAATGAAGTAGACTGCGAAGCGGTCGACGAGGCGCTAATAATTAAAAATAAATAATGTTTAAACTAAATGTTTTTGTAGATATGTGTTGAAGAGGGAACCGTCAAAAGATATAGAAACTGATTTTATTTTGCAATGAGGGAAACAAAATTTATTTAAAAAATACTGCAACCAGGCAGGCAATTCCTCCCTATGTGTGTATCTGCCCATGTCCAAAATTACCCTACAAAATTACATTTTCTTAAATAAAAATCATTTACGAAATAATTTTTTAATTTATGTTATTAAAATAATTAGTAGGTATTAATTTTATGTCAAGAAATAATTATATTAAATTTAAAAAAAATAATTTTTACCTTACACATGTTCGTTTATATAAATAAGTTTTTTCACAAATTTAAATAACTTCCAGAAATCTCTTCCAACTAAATAAATGTTTTTCTTATATATTTCTTTTGATTATTTTTATTTCTCAACTGTCATATAATGTTCCTTGAATGTTCAGTATAGCAATAAAAATACTAAATACTTATAAAAATTATGAGGTAGAATGGAAATACAAAATTAAATATTTTAAATCTTATAACATCACATAAAATTTCAAGGCGATATTAATTTTAATGTTTTCTTCAGAAACCTTAACAGATACGAAAATTTTTAATAGAAGAAAAAAGGGGCACAATAAAATTTCTTATTCAGAAGTTATTAAAAAAATGTTTTCTTTATTCATTTTTACATTGAGAAAACTGGAGAGTCAAATTCAGAGAATCAAAAAGTGTATGTTTCCTTTGCTTATAAAGAGAGTTTGATAGTTTTTCTAAAAATAATTTTGAATTGATAAAGGAAATCTGCTTGCATATTCTCTCAAATTATATATGAGGGTTAAAAGCTGCGCAGAAAATGTGAACGATCTGATGCGTGCGAACAACACCAAGGTTTTTCTATTATTTTTTGTTGTTTAATAGATGAATTACTAAATAATTAAGATAATAATTCATTAATTAAAACAGTTCCTTTAATCTTTAAAGAAATTAATAATAAAAAAAGTTGTTTTGTTTTTGTGACATTTAATGTATTTAATTTATGCATTAGGTTACCATATTTATTCATTCCATGCTGGGTAAAGAAGGGATTTTTCAAGATGGTTAATTTCTCCCTCTGCCATAAACTTATTTTCCCTCCAAGAGAAATGACTCGATTATATGTGAATCGTGTATTTAAATATATAGAGTATTTTCCAATAGTCAACTCTCAAATATGAACGATTAGTCCCTCCAAATGTTTAGTCCAAACCTCCAGTTTTCTCAGTGTAAACTGTCAGAGGTCAACTAATATAGGGATATAAATTTTATGTGTCGTTATAAGATCCGTCGTTATAAGAAAATGATTCCATAAATTAGGACTCAAATGTCCTAAGTTAGCTTTCTGTCTAGTGTTAGACAATTGGACAGTAGGAAATAAATAATTATTATAATTAAATAAATAAATTAATTAATTACTGATAATATGAATAAATAAAACTACTGATAAATTTTTTCTTCTTAACAGTAAATAAAAATTATTTTATACAACTTAAGCAGTCACTTTATCTATCTGTACAGGCACATACTTTACTCAGCAGTCAATAAAATGCCTATTATTGCCCTATGCAATAACGGACACTTTATTTACCAGCTGTGTTGTATGTGGAAACTTAGCATGCACAGTCACATGTAGCATACAGTGACTATAATAGATCTTTGTTGTATAAAGTGTAGTAAGCAACATGGGAAATAACCTCACTTAAGTGCCTCAATCAATATTGAAGAACTGAGCACATAAACTCGGTCTTGTCACCCTTGTATCATAATATGAGGCCTCGGATCGAAGAACTGGACCGCCGCGCGATCGAAAGGGATAATACCAGCCAGGTAGCAGTGAGCGCCTCTGGGCCACACACTGTTACCTGACTGTTATTATTCATTACAACCGAGCGGCGGTCGAATTCTTCGATCCGAGGCCTCATATACTATTCCTCTTACTCGGTGGTAGAGCAAGCGGACGAAAAGTACTTTGGCGCCCGTTTCCCTGTCACCGGGCAAAAATCAGTTACTTTGCGCCAGCCTTAAAGTGCCCGAAATGACATACTTTTTATTATCTAAAACGAGTAACAGAAATATGTTTCTTTTTTTTAGAATATTCTTCAATTTGAGGAGGCAATGGACCTTGAAACAATACAGGACAGTGAGGTAATTAATTAATAAAATATAAATTAAGATTTTCATTACAAATAAATTATGAATTTCTTAAAAAAATTTATTAAGTAATTATTAATTATTTTTCACATTTTTCTTATAGAGTTCTTCACTTTATGATGCAGATGAAAATATTTAAAATGAATGAACAATTCAGTTCAATGAAGAAGAAAATCCCATAGAAGAAGAAAATTCTATAGAAGAAGAAAATTCCATAGAAGAGGATGAAAATGGAGATATATTAACGAATATTATTACAGAAGGGTTGCAGAAGAAAGTAGATTCTCCCAATATATTAAATATAATTGAAACTCCGTTAGCAATTAGTGAGGGAGAAATGTTAATGATGTTTCTAAAATACTCCATAACTCATGAATTAACTCATACAGCTGTTAAAGACTTATTTACAGCTTTAAATTGTATGTTTAGAACACCTGTGTTACCCAATACTCGTTATTTTATAGACAAATTATTTTTCTCAAAAGAATTTGTAAAGTATCACGCAGTTTGTCCTTATTGCGGTCATTACGCAGGAACTTTCTTGCGAAGTGATAATGAAAAAAATTGTTCTAATTGTCAAAAAAATTTTAAAATTAATGATACTAAATTTAATAGTTTTTTTGTCACATTTAATATTAAAAATGAACTTAAATATTTATACTGGAACAAAACGATTCATATTATGATTATGTAGTGCGCCGTAGAAGACATAAAAGGGGAATATACCAAGATATATATGATGGAAAAGCTTATCGCCATTTCGTTAGAAATTTAAATGAAGAAAATAAAAAAATTATGCTTCTTTTATTTTTAATTGTGATGGAGCACCAACATTCGAGAGTAATACATTTTCAGTTTACCCTATTCAACTAATGGTAAATGAGTTACCAATGGAGGTAAGAACATCTCAAATGACAGTTTCTGCTTTATGGTTTGGAAAATCAAAACCGGATATGAATGTTCTACTAACAGGATTTGTCGACGAAATGGATGAATTATCAGAATCTGGAGTTGAATGTCAAATTCAAGGTAAAAATAGAATAATTAAACCATTCGCTATTTGTTGTTGTGTGGATTCTGTAGTCCGTGCGCCTATGCAGGGTATTTCACAGTACAATGGCTATTATGGTTGCAGTTGGTGCCTTCATCGTGGTAAATATGTGAGAAATGCAAAAAATACAGGTGGCTGCGTAAAATAGCCAATTTTAAATACAATTCCTGAAGAACGAAATGAAGAAAACTTTATGATGTGTTTAGATAGACTTATGCTTATTCAAAATGAAATTGATGCCACTGAAGATGAAGAAATGCTTACTTCTGAAGAAATTGAAAACGAAGAAATAGTTAATGCAGAAAGAAAAGAAATATTTGATGAAGATAATACTGATGATGATAATGATGCTGATAACGATGCTGATGCGGATAATCATGAAGATAATACTGATGTTGATGATAATGATGATGAAGACAATACTGATGATTATGATAACGATGTTGAAGAAGAAGAAGAAGAAGAAGAAGAAGAAGAAGAAGAAGAAGAAGAAGAAGAAGAAGAAGAAGAAGATACGAATTGTACTTATGGAGTAAAACACGTTTCACCTTTAATAAACTTACAAAATTTTAATATAATATCAGGTTTTGTAACAGAAAATATGCACTTTATTCGATTAGGAATAGGGCTACAATTGACTGATTATTGGTTAAAGAAATTGAAACCACAAGAAATTAAAACAATAGATAATTTTTTAAGCAATATTCTTGTTCCAAATCAAGCTATGCGATTTACTCGTTCAATATCAGATAGAGGACACTGGAAGGCAAAGGAATGGGAAAATTGGATCTTATACTTTAGTTTACCAATAATGGCAAATTTTATAAAATCGAAATTATTAAAGCACTGGGCACTTATTGTAGAAGCCTTCCACATTTCTTTACAGCCTATAATCACAAGTATTGACCTACAACGCTTATAAGCGTTGTAATTTGTCGATAACAAATTTCTTTACTAAATTTTCTATAGAAAATTTAGTAAAGAAATTTGTTATCGACGTTGAAAGTAATTACACAATAGCAGCCATGACTTACAATGTTCATCAACTATTACATTGGCCTAAAACCATAGAAAATTGGGGTCCGAGTTGGACACTTACTGCCTTTCCTTTTGAAACTGGTAATGGTAAATTATTGAACATGATAAATGCTGCAAACGGTGTAACAAATCAAGTTTGTCGAAAACTCTCAATGTGCCAAGCTGATTACTTTTTGAGAAACAAATTATATAAAAATTGTAATATACGTGTACAACTATATTACTCAAATTTGGAGAAAAAAACAACACAAAAGACATATAAAAACAACTCATGTAGATATTTTGGTGTGCCCAAAGCAACGAATGCAGCATGGACAGAAAAATTCAATTTTTCAAATAAAACGGTTTCTTATAACAAAATGGTAAAAAATAAATGTATTTATTCAATTAAAACGAGCAACAGAAAACGTTCTAATAATAGTTTTGCCATATTAAGAAATGGGACATATATCAAAATTAGAAAATTTGTAGTAGACGAATTAACAAAAGAAGAATATGTGATTGCAAAAATTCTTATTGTAGAAAATGCATTTGCAAATCATTGTAGTAAAATTAAATTAATAGTAGGATTTGAGAATGGTATTCAAGCAATATCAACTAACGAATTAGAAAAAATATGTGTATTTTTTAAACTTGAAAATAAAAAATTCATTTGTGCATAGTACCAAATTTATTTCTCAAGTGTACCAATGTCAAAATTGCAAGTTGTTGTATCGGGCTAATATTTTCACAGTATTTAGTACTATGTATGAGTACTTCAACCACCAAGTATTATGAAATTTTATAACAAATTGTAGAGGGGGGAGGGGGTTGAAGATTTTGGATAAGTATGAACAGTGCGTTTTCTAAAAATCGTAGCTTCTATATAATAAAGCAAAAAGAATTTTGACCTATATGTTTTTGGTAGGTTTTTTCACGCTCTTTCAAATGGTAAAAAATTTTTTTTAAAATTTTCAAAATTTAACCCTTTTTTTGAAAATTAAAAATTTTTTTGATTTTTTTTTCAAGAAGGACCCTTTTTTTTCTTTTTTTTTGTACCAAAAGAAAGCTTAAGATGTGTACTTTCAATAACTAAAATCAACGAGTCCAATATGAAATATTTTGGATAAATTGACGTTTTATACATAAATATTTATAAAAATTAATTAACAAATGAATATCATTTATAAAAATAAAGATAAAGTGTTAGTTTTTTTTACACAAATGTTTATACAATTCTACTTTTAAAAAAATGTATTCCAGTTATTTGCAACAATTCTTTAAATAAAATATTCATCACCTTATGCGTGTGTTGCGCTGCATAACTATCTTCCCGGCTTAATATTATTTCACATTTTTTATAGAATATTTTTTTATTTTTTACATTTTTGATGTAAGAAAAGATTATTTCTTTTTTATATCAATAATTTTTTATTATTTTAATATTATTTATTATTATTAAATTATTTTGTAATTAATTTATTAGGAATTACGTAAAAATTTCTTGTTGATATTAAAATAATAAAACATTATTAATGTAAAAAAGAAACCATCTTTTCTTACATTAAAAATGTAAAAAATAAAAAAATATTCTATAAAAAATGTGAAATAATATTAAGCCGGGAAGATAGTTATGTAGCGCAACACACGCATAAGGTGATGAATATTTTATTTAAACAATTGTTGCAAATAACTGGAATACATTTTTTTAAAAGTAGAATTGTATAAACATTTGTGTAAAAAAAACTAACACTTTATCTTTATTTTTATAAATGATATTTATTTGTTAATTAATTTTTATAAATATTTATATATAAAACGTCAATTTATCCAAAATATTTCATATTGGACTCGTTGATTTTAGTTATTGAAAGTACACATCTTAAGCTTCCTTTTGGTACAAAAAAAAGAAAAAAAAGGGTCCTTCTTGAAAAAAAAACAAATAAATTTTTAATTTTCAAAAAAAGGGTTAAATTTTGAAAATTTAAAAAAAAAATTTTTATTATTTGAAAGAGCGTTAAAAAAACCTACCAAAAACATATGGGTCAAAATTTTTTTTGCTTTATTATATAGAAGCTACGATTTTTTAGAAAACTCACTGTTCATACTTATCCAAAATCTTCAACCCCCTCCCCCCTCTACAATTTGTTATAAAATTTCATAATACTTGGTGGTTGAAGTACTCATACATAGTACTAAATATTGTGAAAATATTAGCCCGATACAACAACTTGCAATTTTGACATTGGTACACTTGAGAAATTTTGCCCCATATATATATATATATACTAGGGGGGCTTCGCCCCCCTGCGCGCTTCGCGCGCCAGCCCCCTTGTTTTTTCTTCTTTTTTCTTTAATAATTTACGTCAATAATATCTTTTAATATTTAAAAATTATAATTATTGGTTTTTAGCCAAATTCTTTAAGAAAATTAAAGATTTTTTTATTTTGATTAAGAATTTAATGAAAATTATTTACGTGAATTTCTATAATTTCAAAGTAATTTGTTTCCAAGACAAATAGAGGTATAATAAAATTTAAATGCATATTTAAATTTTATTACAAACCAATTTACCATCTCACCTAAACTAAAAATGTTTTAATAAATTTACTTACGAAAATTTATGAAGTATATTTTTCGCTTTTCAGTAAAAAGGACCTTACATATAAAGAATTATAGGTTATTTTAAAGTAAAATACTAAGATTTTTTAATTTAAAATTTATCTTAAATCCAACAAAAAACTTTTTTAATATAATTTGATACTTTTTAAGTAGTCTTTTTCAATTGTAACTAACACGTATAGTAAGTAAGAAATGTAGAATTAGTTAACAAATAATAGTGGAGTGGGAATAGAGGAGAGGGGAGATTTTGATGTTATGATTGTCCTGTGACCTGTGAGTGGGACGAGGGGGTGTAATGTAATAATATAAATGAGGGTTTGAGGTTATGTTTCCAGCGAAATAGAATTGGGGAAGATGGGGAAGGGAGTTGACGTTATGTTTTCCCTGTGACCTATGAGTAGTTAGGGGGTTTTGAGGTTATGTTTTCCCTGTGATCTATGAGTAGGGAGGGGGGTTTAAAGTTATGTTTGCCATGTTACCTATGAGTGGGGAGGGGGTTTTGAGGTTATGTTTGCCCTGTGACCTGTGAGTGGGAAGGGGGTTATGAGGTTATGTTTGCCCTGTGACCTGTGAGTGGGAAGGGGGTTTTGAGGTTATGTTTGCCCTGTGACCTGTGAGTGGGAAGGGGGTTATGAGGTTATGTTTGCCCTTTGACCTGTGAGTGGGAAGGGGGTTTTGAGGTTATGTTTGCCCTTTGACCTGTGAGTGGGAAGGGGGTTTTGAGGTTATGTTTGCCCTTTTACCTGTGAGTGGGAAGGGGGTTTTAAGGTTATGTTTGTCCTTTAACCTGTGAGTGGGAAGGGGGTTTGAGGTTATGTTTGCCCTTTGACCTTTGAGGAGGGGGGATGGAATCTTGAAACAGCGGCGACAGCGATATATTTTTGTAATATAGGGAGATATATATATATATATATATATATATATTGAGTGTCATATTGTAATCGTAGCGACAAAGATGTACCTATCTTAATTTATAATTCTAATTTTTCTAATTTTCTTTTTTTCGTTCTGAAGAGGACAGCTGTGCTGCCGAAACGTAAAAAGAATTGAATTTCTTTTATTTTTATTTTCCTTGACTCGGAGTGATCGTTAATTTTCACTATTTATGAATTTCTTGTAATTTATATATATTTATGTATAATCAAATGTTGAACTCTTATGTATAGAACTCTTGTGGTAAAAAAACATTGAATAAACCTAATAAATCTACTCATAAGAAATTTCTCGTTTTGCATTTTGTAGAGATCATGACATCATTGAATCGATTAATTTCGACATTCTTTCACAGAATACTTTTGGAAATTTGGCATTGGCACTTTTGACTTCCTACCATAGTAAGCCATAGTCTCAGTTTACCTAAAGTTTTTGTTGTTTCCCCTATGGCACTTTGTATCTCAATATCCGCTGACATCAATCTCTCTAAAAATTTCTCTGCTAATTTAGAACCAACTACTAAAATTCCTTCTTCCGGGTCGAATAGCGCGAAGTAGGGTTGATCGACAATAAATAACATTAAGTAGTTTTTTTGTAATATATTTTGGTGCTGATGCCGAAATTCTCATTCAGCTAAAGAGTTGATCTCGAATCCCGATGCGTAACGCCGATACTCCGGAGTTAATCCTTTAAACACAATTCTTAACATTTTATTCTCTGAAAAATGGCCGTTTAAAATGTTCCGTTACTAACCGAAGATTCATTAAATAGCTGGAAATCTTCTCGCCTTTCGCTTGGGTTCGAGCCACAAATTCGTCCCAAATATCTTCTTCGTCGATGGTTGCCTCGAATTCTCTTTAAACATTTTCTTAAATTTTTTCCATGATGTAATATCTTCCTTCACAAACGGAACCATCTATTCGCCGAATGTTTGAGAACGCTCGGAATTGCTCTCAAAATTTCGCTATCGTTGATATAATTGCATATTTTGCAATCTTGGAGACGATTCAAAAACTCTTCGGCATCATCTTCTTCCGATCCTCAAAATTTAAAATCACATTCTTTCAGACGCTTCACAGTTCTCGAATTTCTATCATCATTAGATCCATGATGACGATGTGTATGCGGCCTAAGTACCTCTTGAACATCTTCTGATTCACTTGAAGATATTAATTATAACGGAAATTTTGACTTCTGTTTAGTCGAAAACGGAAAAAATATAGAAAAAATATAGTCTTCTTATTGGCCAGATTTTGTCCCCACCTCGCAATTTGAAGTAGATACAGCGATTGGGAAAGACAGCCCGAGCGCACTTGCTGTTATTGTATGCGCAGGCTCAATTGTCCCCTCTCTCACGCTTATAATGCTCAGTGTTCTGTGCACTGTATACCTCCTTATGTCTCTCCCCTTTCTACACTGGTGTCTCTTCCCCTCTACTTCTTCGTCCCCACTTTTCCGGCTCTAGAAGATTTAACATTCTTCTTATCTCTTGTCTTAGCCAATTCTCATGCTTTTGCTGTTGACTCGAAAAATTCATGTTTCTCTCGATTTCTTTAAATTGTAAATTTCCCTTCTTTGGTATTGCCCCATGACCGTCACTTTCAGTACGTTAAAATCCACCATATTTGGGAATTGCACCTGTTCTCTCGCTCGTCCGGTTTTCCAACCCCGGTTGAGGTAAACTGGTACCCCATCCTTGTTGCAACTGTATCGGGCTGCAGGTCCAAATCGTTGGTGCGATTGTCGCACCAACGTTGCAATACTGCCGCACGGTAAAGCCCACGATACCACTGTTGTGGTAATTCGACACTGTAGACGTGACTATAGGTGCTGTAGTTATCGTTACTCTCATCTCACTACCTGACTGTACAGTGGTGATAACAATATTCTCCTCTTGACTATCATCATTTGTGCTCGTAGAAGATGCTTGCGTAAAATTTTCTTATTTCCTTTTGTACTACAATGCTGCGTGACTAACTCCTGAACCACTTCCGTTAACGGCATGCCCTCTATTTCTTGACATATTTTTCTGACTTTCTCATTTCCGAAGAGCCTAATAAATTGTTGACGATAAGTGTCTGATGGATGCATCGTAATATCTTAATACCCCGCGATGAGGAACGAAAACAATTTAAAGACGACACGGTGGAATCAAATGGTACTCACGCTGAGAATTTTACTCTAAGATAAAGAAAACGAAAGAAAAAAACTAATAAATAACACTCACTTCTTTAAATATTGTAACTCAACATTTAAAAATAATAATAATCCCCTTTTTTATAACAGCTAATGATAGAGAAGAAAAAATTCTTAGTTCCTGTGCGTCACTGAAACTTTTCCCGTTTGTTATTTCAGCAACCATAAGGAGAAAAAAATAAAAATCTCACTTCTTTTTTTAAGCTGATACTGAATAAGAAGACGATTTAAAAAATACTCCTCTCTACTCACTTTACTATTGTATAAATCCTATTTATACTTAAAAAACAAATTTAAAAAATACGAAAAATGTTAAAGACAAAGAAATTATTTGACAATCTCTATTCAAAGCAGTATTCATTAGATTGATGAACCGCTCGTTGGATTTTATTTGTCAATGATTGGTCGTCATTGAGGTGACTGAAGGAGAGGCAGAATTTTGTTGCAAATTCGGCCCAGATGTGTCATGAGTACCGGAAGGTGGTGTACCAAGTGTAAGCTGAATCTACTAACACCTAAGTTTCATGGGGATCGATGTCAGTGGACAACGTCCTGCTCTCGAATTCGGCGATGAAATAATGGACATCCAATATGACAGGGAATGCAAGGTCCCAAGATTTAATAATTTTGTGTAAATTGGGGATTGCGGTTCTTGGTGCCGGTTGTGGAGGATCAATCGGTGCAGGAATTGGTTGTGTGAAGTGGTAAGGCTTATCAGTGTGTTGGGAGGGTGGGGCTTCATGATACTGTAGGTTATCGTTAAAGTATAAGGTGCGATTAGGCGGAGAAATATGCCTAGTGGGTGTTGCATGTGATAGGGGTAACGGTACATGTATGTCGTCGCTCCGGTTAATGTCGCTTTGTTAGTATCTACTATTGACGTCGTAGTTGTATTAGTTATGAGGGTAGGGGGTTTACAAGTGAGACTAAACAAGCGGTCTTCACTCTCATCGAATGCCCATCTTGGTGCATTTGCAATGCGCCGATTTTTCGTGTAAGGAAAACCATTAATTTGTTTATATCTGCCAGGCCGTAAGATAGGATATCAATTGCTTTGTTCGATTGCAGGCGAGATGCGCTTATATTTTTTGCTGTTTCAATACGGTGATGGCTTATTATGTTAAGAATTTCTTTTTTGAAATTGTTGATTTCGTTTAGAGTTTTAGAATGGAATAACGAAATTAAGTTGGTGGAGGTTTGGGTTTGCTCCAGAGATGATAATTGAATTAATTCTTTAAGTTCGTCGAGGTGATTCTTCTGTTCAGCGCGGAGGGTGTTTATTGTGTTTGTAAGTCTGGGTTCTGTAAAAGGAGAACCGATTTGTGAAATTTGCCGTCGTGGTGGCGTGTGTATGACTTTAGAAATTGCACCCGAGTCCGTTCTAAAGCTTGAACCCGTATTAAAGGTATTTTGGGAGAAACCCCTAAATATAAAAAAACCATCTATAGGGCGCTATTATTTGCGCCTGTATCATTTCGACTGTCGCTATAGGAATGTTCGGTTTTTTCTCTGTCAATGTGACTCGCTAAAGAAATTAAAGGAGGGGTGGTTGACGTAATGGTCGTAGTAGCCTCTGTCGAATTCTGAAGTCGGTCTAAGAGTCTTGTGCAATCATAACACCACCACGGAAGCCTTGTTCTGTGGTGGTGTTATAAACATGTCTGCTCATTTTCTTTGTGATCTGATAGTAAATCCTAGAGCAGTTGAGGGTTTGGATTTTTTTGGAAAAAAATTTTTGAAAAAAGTTTAAGTTAATACAAAAATTTTTTATTATTATCGTTAAACAAAACAAAAAAAAGATTTTTTTTGTATAATATTATTGCAAAAAATAATGTTTCTTAATTAAAAATTCTTAATTGGGAGAATTTTAATTAGATTTTATTCTGTGATAAATTATATTTTTCATTTCAAGGAAATTAAATTAAATTTATCTTATTGGGCCAGAGACAAGCAAAAAAATAGAGCAGTAGTAAACACTCATTGAGAAAAAAAAATTTATAGAAACACAGCTGTGTTTTGGTTGCGCATGTCGAGTAAGGGTTTGGTAATTTTCCGAACCTTTGTGGCTTGAGTGGAAAATTTAGCATTAACTCCCGAAGTGATCATCATTGGAAGTTATCATTATGCTTACATTCATCGAAATAAAAATAAAAATATAATTTACCGTAAAAAGCGAAAATGTAGCAAAGCACACGGTGGAACCTGCACTCAAGATAATTGTGGTGTTTTGTCGCGTTTATGTGAAAAATTAATTTATTTTTTTGATTGTGCGGCAAGTCAAAATGGACATTAAAACACTAAAAGGAATGGAGTTTCAACACTTATAAAGACCGTATGGCGATGCGATTTTCGGCAGCATGTCGGAGTTTTCCGTGATGAAAGCCGGTAAATTAAAGATGAAGACGTGATTTTTTTAAGTCAAAATTAAAAACACGTTTTTGACAAAAATGTGCCACAGGCATAGTTTTTGAGTTTAGTCTTAGTTCCTAAGACTAAGACATGTTTGGCGCCCAAAATGTGACAACCCAGTAGCGAGAATTGGATTTAGAGTATTTTTAATTTAAAATCTCGGGGATGGAAACGACTCGAGACGGCAGGCTCAAAATTTGAGTGAGAGTTTTGTCGCTGAGCGATTCGTCGGCGGATGATTCTGGTGACTTATTAGTAAAAAAGAAGTATTAGACCAACTGGGTCGTCACAAAATTTAACTACAAATTTACTTTAATTGAATTAATAATTTTTAACTACACAATATAGTTTAAAATATTTAAAAAAAAAAAAAATTTTGCATTATTTGTAGATGACAATTAGTATATTCTTGAAGTAAAATGAAAATTCTTTTAGTAATTCGATAAAACCACATTGTAAACAAGAATAATGAATGAAAAATAATTCTATTTGTCAAATTTGCTGTACGAATTCTGGACGTTTTCTGAAAGGAATTACGCACGTAATTTTTGCTGAAAATATTTCCTATTAAATTTGCCTACTTTTCTAAACGTATTTTGTACAATATTCGTGCGAATTATTGACGAAATTTTTTAAAAATTGCGCTGGACATTCAATACAAATTCTTTACGTGATACTTGTCTAAAAAATTTCAACCACATTTTCAAACGAATGTTATACAATATTCGTGCTAATTACTGAAGAAATTTTTTATTAAATTTTTCGAAAATTGTTGTAGAAATTGGATAGAAATTTCAACAAATATATGAAAGTAATTCCATTCAGAAAAAGTCCGGATAGAAAATTGAACCCGAATTTCACAAATGTTTACCGTATAAATTACAGGCAGAATTCCATGCAAATTTACATGTGGAATATATTTTTTATCAATTCTGTATTTGTTTTTACTAAGAAATTTGTACGAATTACTATTTTATGTCAAAAAGAAATTGCGAGAAAAATGATTTTGTGTTATTACCAGGGACAAATATATTATTTTATAGCAAATGATTATTTATAAATGTTTGACGTAAAAGTAAAACTGAAACAGTAAATTTTGTGCAAAAACATTTTATTTATTGATTCTTTATTAAATCTATAATAATTATACAATAAAATTGTCGTGAAGAAATACTTATTCATAAATATTTATCATAGAAAGCTTTCTGAACATAAGATTAGATATAAAATAGGATATTTAATAAAAATGTACACTAAGAAAAATATGGTACTAAAATTCTGAAAGCAATATCGCTTTATTATTTTTATTTATATTTACAATATGATTATAAATAAATGTAAAATAATTAAAGAATAATTCGATGATAATAATAATTTGCAGTCTTGCTTCGCATTTTTGACTGTTGAATAAATTTTTCTTATTATTATTTTGTATCTTATAAAATAGAAAAAGCATTGATAGTAAGCATGATACTTTTTAACTTTGTATCGTATAAAAGTAAAAAAAGTAAAGTAAAAATAAAAAACATTTTTTTGTTTGATTATTTATTATTTCTATCATCAGTATGCATTAACTTTTGTACTCAGAGTTACAATATTATTGTTAAAAAAATTGAAGTGAAGTACAGACGGTTTTTAAAAGTATAAATAAAACTAATTTTTTAAATTTTTTATCGTACATGTATAACAATAAATTGCAACATATAATGAAGAAATTATTTTATAATGAATCAATATATTAAGTTAATCAGCAATAGCGTTCATATATTTATATATATATATATATATTTATTTATATTATTTTTTAAAACAGAAACTTTTTAAATAAAATCATTTTTTACATGATTTTTATTAATTTACATACCTTTACAGCAACATTTTTTATCAAATGACAAGACTGCAAAAATTTGCCTAAAAATGGCAAAAATTACTGGACCAGTATTAATGCCCCTTATAAAGCTGTGCCGATTGTCAGATAATTTAATTTTTCAAGATTGGTCCAAATCTTGGCACAGTAATGTCGCGTTTACGGCAAAGTTGTTAAATCTGTAATGCCGGAATATAATTTTCAGTAGTGGCAAGAATTTTATATCGTTATTGGCACATAATAATTGCTGCCACTAAAATTTGTATCTTTGATAATAAATTACTATTGCCAGAAATGTAACGTAGCATGGACCAATAATGGTAGATTATCGGACAGTAGTGCAATTTAAAAGAATAATTTCGCTTTTACAACTTCACGTCTTCAGCGTAGCAGAGTGACCAAAGTATTTGGCTTTGGTGCGTGAGGTTGAGGTATCGATTCCCACGTGTGGTAAGAATTCTTCAAATATTTATAATATTGCATTTAATTTAAGGAAGTAAGCCATATAAATATTATAAATGAATTAGTTAATTAATTAAAAAATATAATTATTGTTATTATTTTCTGCAAATTATCAATACTGGCAAATGGTGTCATTTATATTACCGGATTTTATTCATGGTATATTCAAACGACTTCGAGCGGATAAAATATCTTTTTTGGACGACCTAGGGATATCCATGCAATAAAATATCATGGATATCCAAATTCCCGGAAGACAACAAATATTTTAAGAAATTTGATAGATTTCTTTTTCTTTTTTTATAATGTGCTGGTTCGTGGTCCGAAATACAAGAAAAGAAAATGGACACATTCTTCTGAAATAAATCGTGTACAGTATTCTAAGTAAGTATGCTACAATCAAATTTGATTTCTTCTTTCTTCTTTGCTATTTGAAAAATTAAATCTTGGAGTTTATATTAAGGAAAAAAATTCAAACCTAGGTTATTAAAACTTAGGTATATGTAACTTAACCTACTAATTTAATAAAGATTACCATTAATAATTTTTTAATGATCTATTATGATAAAAAAATTAATTTACTACTTTTGAACAAAAGGGTTTCTTTTAAACCCATGTAAGATTGAAGTAAATAAATAATTAGTACCAAGGATTATTCTACTGAAAATAATGTATTTTAATATTATTTTTTAAAAGTTCTTTTGTGATGTATTATGTAAATCTGCAACAAATTCTAAGAGTAAGTACATGAGATTAATTATGTTACAGATTAAGTGTATTGGTATTCAGCTTGAGATACTAAATTAAAATTTTTACAAAGAGAAATATAATCGGAACCGGAAAGTGGATTGATATATTTGAGTTTTACGGCAAGTCAAGTACTTCAAGAATCTTTTTTGAATTTTTTCCAAGACGTTTTACTAATTTTTGTACAATTTTAGACAAGAATTATTTTTATCATAAATTCTACAAATGTATTTGGCGAAGATACATAATAAAATACAAATCAAAATTCGGTTACGCACAATAATTTCTATAAATATTTTCAGCAAACAATACATATTTTGATATTAGCAATTTTTTTTAGTTAATCATTTCAAATAAAGAAAATCAAAATATTTTGCAAAATTTTTACAGTGCATAATCAATCTAGCATTGGCTCTACTCAAAAAGTTTGCAATTTAAAAGTCTGCAATCAGAATAAAGTCCTATTTTCAAAAGCATCTTTATTTTGTAGCTAAAAGAATATACAACAATGCTATACTAAGTCAATTATTTTTCATGACAGAAAAGCAGCACAGACTATTGCATAATTTTTGCAAACATCTTTATTCAGCACTGAAATTTGAATTTTTTGATTAAATGAATCAATTACATTATTACTGAATCAACAATTCCTAGCATAATAACTACAGAGAAAGAAAGTCTTTCTAAATACACATTCGAGTGTATACTGTACTTTGATCGAATCATTTCAGAATCGATTAGCAAAGCAAAGTACAGATCAGCAAAGCAAAGCAAAGCAAAGCAAAGCAAAGCAAAGCAAAGCAAAGCAAAGAAAAGTATAGCAGTCAAGATTCGTTTTGAAAACATGGTTTGCTTTTTTTGCAAGGCACCTTGAATTATTTATGTCGTTTTTGGCATAATTTTTACTAAAGTAGATAAAAAAGAAAATGTTTTTCACATTTTTTGCAATTATTATTATTAAGCATTAAAAAGCATCATTAATACAAACAAGTTATTTTCTAGCAAAATAAAGAAATATCAGAATTACTTTATTTATATTGCTTGTTATAAATTAATATAAATTAATTTGTAACATGTATAATAAAATAAAATAATAAGTTAAAATTAAAACACTAGAAGATTTTTAATCAGAGAAATATAATATATGTAGTTAAACCGATTGAATAATTTTAAAAAATATATTATTTTATTCAAATAAATTTTTGCTTGTATAGAACGAAATATTAGGTTTAAGAAAACAAAAATATTGTTGAGTGCAATAAAGTGTTTGGTTCATGCAAATAAAAACATTTAATTAATAAATTTGGTTGAAATATGTCAACATTCAACAAAATGTATAGCACTGCATTTATTTGGTTGATTCAACCAAAATTTGGTTGTTTTAAATAAACTTTCTTCTAAGTGTGTTGTTAAAAGAACATATTCTATTTACTGTAGTTTGGCTGCCAACAAAATAGGACAAAAGTTAAATATTCATTTATTTTTACAAACAATAACATTTTCAATACAAAAAATAAAATTAACGAATAATATAAGATAATTAAATTATGTAATAAATATTTATTAAAAGAAATTAAAAATTTAAATTCAACAATTGATCAGTTTTGAGTCCATGGCAAATTGCTGAACAATGGATAAGGTCCACCATTCTAAAAAACAGATTTAAGATGTTATTACTAATAATAATGATGTACGAGTTTTATGTATATGTGTAACTTTATATGTAAATGTATTTTATGTGTATGAGTCTTGTATACACGTGTTGCTTTATATGTGTAATTGATTTGTGTGTATGTATAAATATAAGTGTAATTGAATTTCGTGTATATTTGTTAGTTGATATGTGAATGTGTATTCTGCGTATGTGTAAGTACATGTATGTATAAGTTTTGTGTGCATGTGTTTTAAGTAAGTTAGTCAGCTAGTCAATCAGTCAGTCAGTCAGTCAGTTAGTGAGCTAGTCAGTTAGTTAGTCAGTTATTCAGTTAGTCAGTAAGTCAGTAAGTCAGTTAGTCAATTAGTCAATTAGTCAATTAGTCAGTTAGTCAATTAGTCAGCTAATCAGTTGGTCAGTCAGTCATTTATTCAGTTAGTCAATTAGTCAATTAGTCAATTAGTCAATTAGTCAATTAGTCAATTAGTCAGTTAGTCAATTAGTCAGCTAATCAGTTGGTCAGTCAGTCAGTCAGTCATTCATTCATTTAGTTAGTCAGTTAGTTAGTCAGTCAGTCATTCATTCAGTTAGTCAGTTAGTTAGTCAGTCAGTCATTTAGTTATTTAGTCAGTCAGTCATTCATTCATTCAGTTAGTCAGTTACTCATCTAGTCAGTCTTTTAGTTAGTTAGTCAGCTAGTCAATCAGTTAGTCAGTTACTCATCTAGTCAGTCATTTAGTTATTTAGTCAGTCAGTCAGTCAGTCAGTATCTTAGATGATATATGAATGTATATTCTGCGTGTGTGTGTAAGTACATGTATGTATGAGTTTTGTGTGCATGTGCTTTGGATATATATGTGTTAATTTATAGGTGAATGCTTATTGTCTAAAGAAGTGAAATAAAAGCTTAAAAATAAATTGATAGGAGATGGTATTTGTGGAACAAAACTCTGGACTTGTGGTTGGGTGATGAGATAGGGTTGTTGAGGAAGTTGCTGTTGATATATGGCTGGAAATGTAGATGGAGCTAATGTAACAGGTTGATATTGTTGGCTGAAGGAAGTTCCTTGGATCTGCTGTCCCTGATGATATTTTCGCTTTTTGTGCTGAAATTTTCAAATCTTTTTATACACACATTTAAACCTATAAACGAAATATACATTTTTTTGAAATTTGAATTTTACATGAAAAAAAAATTTGTTTAAATTATTAAGAGGAAGAGATTGAAATTAAGTTATCCAATGTCTTGAAAATATACGTGAATGTCCTAAGAATATCTCAGAAATAGTCTAATTTCTGGATACGACTAGAATGTCTGTTGGATATCCGAAAATATCCTTTTATGTTAGAGTTTATATTTAGGATATCCTGCGTACATCCTAGGATAACCAGAAATTTGGATAGCCTAATTTCAATTTCTCTAATTCCATTTACAATAAATATAAATCGCATAGTATCTTACTTGATTCGGTTTTTGAAGCTGCTTTTCTTTTTTATTCTGACATAGTAGTTCTGGGTCAATTTCGTTTTCCTGATTTTCATAATTTTCTTTTTTTGTTTTTTGTTGTTGAGGTGGTTGTAATTGTTTTTGTAATGTTGAAAGTTTGTTTGTGTACTCTTGCAAGAATTTGGAGTGCTGTTCCACGAGTTCTTGCAAGTGTGTGTTTTGTAAGTTTAATTCGTGTAATTCCTTGTAATTTGGGTGTGATTGTAAATTGTCTTGTTCTTGTTGATCTACTTCTTTTTCTCTTTCTTGTAATTGTTCTTGTAGTTTTTCGATTTCCTGCTGCTGCTTATGAATTGATTGTTGTTTTTGTTTAATTTCTTGTTCTTGATCCTGAAGTTGTCGTTGTTTATGTTTAATTTGTTGATTTTGTTCCTGAAGGTTTCTTATATTACCATTTAATACACATTCTTTTTCGCCTATTTTCATCTCTCTTTGATTCAAATCCGATTCGCGATCATCCATTTCTCTTTGTCTCTCGACTAAAATCTGCTGTCTCTCTTTAAAATCTCTTTCTTTTTGTTCCAAAAGTTGCATTTTTTGTTTTAGATCCTGTTGTTGCTGTTGAAAATCTTGATGTTGTTGTTGTTGAAGTTGTTGGAGTTGTAGTTGTAATTGTTGTTGTTGATTTATTTGTTCCTCTTGTGATTGTTGACCAAATAGTTGTTGCGCAGTTTGTTGAGTATTTAATTGTTGCTCTGTTTTTTTATCTTCCAATTTTCCAGAGTTGTTAAAATCCTGAAAGTGTTGAATAGTGCCATCTGCTGCTTTTGACAACTGAAAAATTAATACAAAATTAATTAAATATTGTCAACTAAAAATCACAGTAAATCGTAAGGTACTCAATTAGTCAGTCAGTTAGTCAGTTAGTCAGTTAGTTAGTCAGTTATTCAGTTAGTCAGTAAGTCAGTTAGTCAGTTAGTCAATTAGTCAGACAGTTAGTTAGTGAGCTAGTCAGTTAATTAGTTAGTGAGCTAGTCAGTCAGTAAGTCAGTAAGTCAGTTAATCAATTAGTCAGTCAGTTAGTGAGATAGTCAGTTAGTCAGTTAGTTAGTCAGTTAGTGAGCTAGTCAGTTAGTTAGTCAGTTATTCAGTTAGTCAGTAAGTCAGTAAGTCAGTTGATCAATTAGTCAGTCAATTAGTGAGATAGTCAGTTAGTCAGTTAGTTATTTAGTTAGTCAGTTAGTCTGTCAATCTGTCAGTTAGTTAGTCAGTTAGGTATTCAGTTAGTCAGTCAGCCAGTTAGTCATTTAGTAATTAAGTTAGTTAGTTAGTTAGTTAGTCAGTTAGTAATTTATTCATTTAGTCAGTTAGTCAGTTAACTAAGTAACTATCTTATTATTGTCTTTGTTGAAACTAAATTTGGCGTTTTTTGGAAAATCGTTGTCTTCGTTTTAATTAAATGTAAAATTTTAGTCATTGTAAAGAATGGATTATTTTTATCTATATTGTTGTTTTAAAATTCATCCTAATATCAATTTTTTACCTTTATTTTCATCGGATCTATTTTTTTCTTATCCACAGCTTCTGAAGGCATTTTTGAAATTCGGATGATTGGATTAACCTATATAGATGAAGCAATGTTGTGGAAACAATTTTTGAAAAATTGATTTTGTTCTTGTGACGCATATTTTTTAAAATTATTTAGTGCATAAATTATGTAGTTTAACTACATTTGATTTTAAAAATTAGCAAAATACATGAAAATAAAGGATATTTTTGTTTAAAGTATTTGACAGTTAAAATAATTTGTTTGTTCTAATTTTACCACTTTCTCTGAATTCTTGTTTCCTGTCCCGATTACTCTTTTTTCTTGTGAATCTATCACTGTAATTATTCTTCCTCTACTGCTTTTTTTAACTGGTTTCATTTTTTAATAATAAATCTGCATAATATGGACGTCAATGACAGATAATTATTTTAGAAACAATATGAAGGCAAAAGAATATTATCGTTTATATATTTTTTGTTTTGTTCTCTGACTTATACCTTTTATGGTAAATATAACTAAATGAGAATCAAATATATATTCAGATTGTTAAAAAAAACTATGTCGAAAGAGAAAGAAATTTTAGAATTAAAACGAAACATAGAGAAAGAATTTAATAAGGGGAAGCAATTTGAAAAAGACATAAATGCCTTAAAAGGTAAAAGATAATTAATTATTTATTTTATATTGTTGTGTCCGTAAATTAATATTCTTACCAGTTGTCATGTCATTAACCTAAATTTTTAAAATTTTTTCTATTGACGATTCTTAATAATAAATTTTTTTAAGCATTTCTTCTATTTTTTATTGTCTTATATATATTTCAATAAAGCCTCTTTAAATTTAAACTTTTACCATTTGAAATTACTTTATTTAAGAATAAAATGTTAATTAAATGAATCAATTAATTAAAATAAAAATAATCTACTGTCAAGATTAATTGTAGAAAAAATAAAAATAAATTGTATTTTTTCAAGTAATTTTTTTAGTTTAATTTGGACCTCCTTCTCTATCTTGATTAGCTCTGATCAGAATTTGTTGCATATACATTTATTCATAAAGTATTAAGATCATTTATAGAAAATTATTTTTTAGCTGGGAAACGGAGAATTAGATTTAAATGTAAAAGGAAGGGAAAGAATGAAAGAAAAAGAGAAAAGGAAGAAAAGATGAAGAAGGATGAAACTTGGAATAAAGGAGAAAAACAAGAAAAGGAGAATTTAGATAAAGGTATATTTTTATTTTATTGTTTTATTTTATATTTTGATTCTAAAGAGTCAATACCCATATAATTAATAACAAACAATCATTTTATAATTTTTATTCCAGTTCTTATGCAGAAGTTCTTAATATGCTGAAATATTAAATACTGCAAAATTTTATTTTTTATGATTACATACATTAAGTAGTATTTTTATAGATGGAAGACAGAGAAGGAATTTGCAGAAAGAAAATAAAACAGGAGCGATTCATTTTAATTTTTATGTAAATAATAAAGAGTTATTGGAAGATATAAATAAAAGTTGATAATATTTTTCAAACTATTGAGTTTTTTATATTTCAAATTTAATTAAGTCAATTAATTAATTCCAAGTCAGATTTTAGTTAACCTTTTAAATTCAGTCTAGCACATTTTTTCAAATGTTAGATTATATTATATTTGTCTTTCTTTTTTAATTTTTATGTTTTTCTTCTCTTTTCGATTATTCGAGCATAATCGATTGAAATTGGTTTCTATTTATTTTGTTTCTTGGTTGCACTAAAAAAATTTACTTAAAAAATTAATAATGTCATCAGTCGAAAAAGAAATCGCTGAATTAAAAAAGTCGTTAGAGGAGGAAAAGAAGAGAAACGAAAGTTTAGAAGAAGAACTAAAATCATTGAAGGGCGAAAGTGAGTTAAATATTAATTTCTGAATTTTTATACATTTACCATTAGTTGTCATAACCTTTTTTGACCAAACGAAATTTCTTACTGCTTTTATTTCATAGTGATATAATTTTTATGCAAATATGTTTAATAATTTTTTTAATTTGTATTTAATTTCTCTTTTATAAAACTGCTTTTTACAAATCATTGAAACTATTATTCTCGTAGGTTTGAGGATGGACACAGATGATGAGTCATTCAAGGCTAATGCTTTAAATGGAAAAAGGAAAATTTATTATAACAGAAGTTACAAGAAAAGGTGGAATAATTGGAATAAGGGAGGAAGAAGAGGTGGTGGAGGAGGAGGAGGATTTAATTTTTATGTTAATTTAAATTTAAAAAAATTAAAAATTATTATCAGAGTTTGAAAATTCATCGCCATATCTTATTAAATATATATCATGGTGTAAAATATTGAATTTAAATATAATTGGTTTTGTTTCTCTGAATAATTTTGTTTAGTAATAAATCATTGCTTTTATTTACAAGTAACTTAAAATAATTTTTTTAAAATCTAAAGCAACGAATTCAATATCGACGCTACAACTTTCCTTTAAAAATTTACATTTCAAAAAAAGTTTATTTTTAATTTATATTTCTTGCGTTATTTATTCTACTTAAAAACAGTTTGACACTCCTTATTAATAAAAGATTTTAACCAAATTTTGAGAACAATGTATATAAAAAACTGAAATCTATTTACGCATAATTACAAATTAATTATATTAAATTAAAAATTATTTTAAGAATATATTTCAGAAATATTTATTTAAATTTTTAAAGAACTTTATGAAGTATACACTGTTAGAAAAGAATTGAAAATTCAACAACTTTTCAATTACATAAGTTATTGAATTTTAATTCAATTCAGCTTGAATTGAAAATTAAAGAACTTGAAGTGAATATTAATTGGTTTGTAATTGAAAATACAAACGCAGTTATTGAAAATTCATTACTGTTATTGAAAAAATGAAAATCCATTGGTTTGTAATTGAAAAATACAGACACAGTTATTGAAAATTCATGACTGTTATTGAAAATTCGATACTGTTATTGAAAATTCGATACTGTTATTGAAAATTCAATACTGTTATTGAAAATTCATTACTGTTATTGAAAATTCAATACATTTGTCACATCTGGTGTGGAAAATTTCTACAATTTCTTAGAAGTTTTTGACAAAAGGTCCTTTTAGCGTCAGTTGCTTTACAGCATTTGCCATAGGAACTATACATCCGCGCGTGAAACTCTTCTTGTTTTTACAGTGTTTTAAATAAAAACTGAGTGTTTAAAATTTAATTCAAAATAAATACATTATAATATTATATTTTATTATTATTTATTGAACAGCAATAGTGAATTTTTCATCTACTTGTGTATATCAGTTAATTTCGACGAATTTCAATTTCTAGGGATAAGTAATTTTATTGTTAGTATGGGTTATGATTAATATAATATTGATACTATTTTATTATTGTTCTTCATAATTGTTTGTTATGGTTTGTGAAAAATATTTTGTTAAATAGTTTTGTAATCAAACATATTTTGTGAAATAAAACGAATCTCTATAAACTACAATTATTTTCTTCAATCTTGGTAAATATTCATCATTAATTGTAAAATTCACAGAAAAGAAGAAATTTTTGTGAATTTTCTTTAAAAAAATTTTTACAGTGAATGTACCTATACACAATACTGGTCAAACTTACTTAATTTCTAATTTCATATTATTGAATTTTCAATTCTATATTATTGAACTTTCAATTCCATGTTATTGAATTTTCAATTCCATGTTATTGAATTTTCAATTTCATGTTATTGAATTTTCAATTCCATGTTATTGAATTTTCAGTTCCATGTTATTGAATTTTCAATCACAGTTGCTATTGAATATTCAACTAAAAATTCAATGACACGGATTGATATGGACTTCACTTACATGTTATTGAAAATTCATATAGATATTTCTAACAGTGTACTGCATTGGAAATGTTTACGTCTTTTCGTGATTGTTTATTTGACGTTTTAAATTGAACTTCTATTTTGCGGTTATAGAAAAATTAATTTATTATAAGAACAATTTTATTAAATTGTGCTGAAATCTAATTAAAGCAATTAAATTTATAAATGGAATTAAGACACATCGAAAATATGAGTAGTCAAAGAAAATACAAAAGGAAAGGACATTATCAGACTTCAGGCAGAAGACTATCCAGTAAATATTCAGCGCGCATGCTGTAAGAAATGATTTTAAAATGTTAGATTTAACAAATCGCACATTATAAAATTTTTTTATTATTCTCAAAAACTGTTTAAATACTTTACAAATAATTTTTTATTAATTTTAATTATTTAGAAGTACTTTATTGTAATTTGTAATCTTCATTATCTACTTATTTTTTCTTGAAACCAAGATTTGAAGCAGAATGTTCATGTAGTAGAATTCAAAATATTATAGTTTCAATATAAAAAATTTTAGATTTTACAAAATTATTTTTTTCAAAAAATTTTATAAATAAGTTGTTTTTCTGTACATAAAAAATGTGCTTAATTAAAGGTAACGATTTACTCTTTTCTAATAGCAGAGTTTAAAATTAAACCACAATTTCTGTTTACTATAATTTTATATATAAAAATAAAAATTTCAAACTATTAAAGTAGACTTGGGTGAGATCAACATTTATCTCTTATTTTCGTATTTTACAATTTATAAATTTGATCTTCCGTCAAGCTTAATTGTAGAATTTTTGGGGTCTCTGATTAAGATTTTGACGTCAAAATATTGCAATTCAGAATTATTTATTTATCTAATTCATTCATTATTCTTTAATTGAAAGAATTTAGAAATATATAATAAAAATGGAGATATTTTATGATAAATGATTTATGAGAAAAATAATATCGTAGTATGTCAAGAATTGTAAACTGTAAACAAAAGGTTCTAAATTAGATCTGATTTTTGGTATTAAAGTAGAACCAAATGACGATTTAGTGCCAAAATTGGTACTAAATTAGTACCTTTCTTTTTATAGTGTGTGATACGATAATTTCACTATGCCGAAGTATGGATGCCGCCTTTGGTTTGCAGCTGAATAACTTTTAGACTGTCACGCGCCCAA